TCCTATTGTGATTTGGTTTGGATTAGATTGGTTCGGTTTTTCTCGATATCATTGTTGTTTTTTTTTTAAACCTTTATATCATTGTTGATCGGCAATTTTAAAATTGTACAGTGGTATACACCAAAAACAAAGAATTATATATTAATATATAAAATATTAAAACTCGTTTGACTTTTATTTTGATTCTAAATATAAAATTCTAATTCACTTTGTTTTCCATATTTATCTATTTTTTCTAAGATAATCTTCATAGTAATGATAGTTTTAGCCAATATACTTAATTCGTAAGAATATTGTAAGAAAGACGACACATATTTATTACAAATAACTAATTTAATTAATTTTCTTATTCTATTCAAATTAGTCAACTAACTTTTTATATTAAGAACCAAAGATAGTAATTGTTAAAATTCAATGGGAACTGTTCATAATAAAAGCTATAAATTGTACCCATCAAGACGCGTCTTCTGATTAAATTATGATATATAAAATATGTTATTACGTGTGGCTCTTCATTTATGTGAATATAGTCATATCTTTTTAGATTGTCTAACAGAACAAAATGGTAATTTGTCTAAAAAGTTGGAGATTTATTAGAAGATAGAGTGATGTACTAATTAAAAACCAAAAAAATGAAAAAGATCTACCTTATGCATGCCCTAGAAAAGATTAACATATATCGTCAGGGAAAGTATGTTTGTTGATTAGTACTAAGCCAATATAAAATAAAAGTCAAAATGATTAATTTACTAGGAATTAAAAAAAAAATACATGGAGCCAACAATAAGCACTAATAATTTAATAAAGCTGAGTCCAAAAGCAACATTACCATTGCCGAAACAACACAAGAAAATTGTACCTGCCGGCTCCTCAATAAATACTGTTTAATGTCCAGCAGGGTAGAAGCGCAAGGGGCATTTAAGCTATGCTTCTCTACGGGGCTGTTTGGTTTGAGGGAAGGGTAGGGGAGAGAGGAGAGGGTGGGTTAAGGGAGGATGGGAGAGGTTTTAATCTTACTTCATTTGGTTTGATTGGGAAAAAAAGAAAAGAAAAAAGAGAGAGGGATATTCAATAATGCCTTATTTGGTTCGAGAGAAGAGAGGGATAGTAACAATTAATTTACTATTTTACCCTTACATATTAGTTCATAGTTTTATTTATATATTATACAAACTCATTTACATCTTATTTCAAATTATATAATTCAATAAATATTTGGTCTTATCATAATATGTGTATTTTAAAATTATCGCGGTAATTTTTTATTTTAGTAAATATAATAATATAATTTAAATAATCAAATTAATACATTTTATATGCTCCAAAAAAAAATGAAATTTTTTCCTTTTCTATTTTTTCCCAACTTTAAAATATATTTTAATTAACAACATAATATATTTGTAAAAATTAATTCATTTTGTAATAATATAATTTTTCATTGCAATAATATTTTTTTATTTTAAATTAGTTTTTATTATAATAATATTTATTTTTTTATTTTTCTTATGATAATATACTTTTATCTAAAATAAATATTATAATAATATACTCCTCCGTTCCTTATTATAAGAGACATCTGATGCTTATGGCATGTTCCTATATATAAGAGACACTTAAAAGTTGTCTCTACTTTTTTGTGTTGATTTCCTATTTTACCCATATTTATTGTCTTCAACTCACACTCTCTCTTCCTCTCACTTCTCTTTTTTTCAATAATTTAATTATTCTCTTTCATGCTCTCTCTCCTTATTAATGAGGGCATTTTTAGAAAAAAATTATATTGATTGTTCTTAACTAATTTTAACTGCTTTTTTGATCAACGTAATTCGGTTATTTGTCTCTTATAATAAGGAACGGATGGAGTATTTTATAGGCATTAATAAAATATCACAAAAGGATGAGATCCCTTCGAAAAACTCTAATTTTAGGGGGAAGCTTAACCGAATGAGGGGAGGGACTCCCCTCCCCTACCTATCTTTCCAACCAAACACACCCTAACAGTGCATTAATGAGTATCTTGCTATTAGATTCTACTATAATGTTTCTGAGTCCCTTAAGCATTGCCTATTCTTTTGCGTCATGGGCACTATAATTCCCAAGATAATTTGAGAATCCAGCAATCCAATTACCTTGATAATCTCTAAAAACACCACCACAAGCAGTAGACTTTGAAATTTCAGATGTAGCCCCATGGACATTTAATTTTGCAGTAGTTGGAGGAGGTGGAATCCACTGCTTAGCATGAGAGATAGCAGTACTAACATCACACTGTAAATGATCTTTCCTCATAATGAATTTGTGACGGGTATTTAAAATCATAATGGCTGGTTCAAGAGGTTTCTGAAAATTATCTTGATAAATGAATTCATTTCGCCAATTGCAACTCCCCAGGTGAGACTCCCTTCAGTGTTCCCGTTAGAAGCAAAATCCTGTTTCAGATTCATAGAAACCCACTCAACAAGAGAGGCCGAAAAGAAGAGCTGAGTGGCAGAAGGCTTTATAATTCTCAACCATTGATGTCTTGCATAAGCACAACCACGCTGGACACTTGGAGGAATAATAGGCAGAGGAATATTTAATTTGTTGTTCCACTTTCGATTGGGCTGATCCTTTTTGTCCCAAACAAATGCCATTAATCTGCACTGTCATTGAGAACGAAGAAATTTAATTTGCCAATGAGGCTACGCTTTTTGGAATTCAGATTGGCTCCGCCTAACGCGCAACTCTCAACTATTCCTTTTTAGAATAACTATAGGGGAAAATGACAAAAAAAAAAACAAATAAACTTCGTAATACCAAAAACATATCCTAAATTTGAGAAATTTCAATTTCGTCACAAAAAACTAATTTGACATTTATAAGTTTGTTGAAATGACCATATTACGTTTTATTTTATTTATTGTTTTTAAAATACTAAAGCCCCACTGGCCAGCTGTTCACTGGAACTCCGATGACCAGTTGACAATTGGTTCCCAGAGCTCTCCAATGATCGGCCAACAATTAGTCGCCAGAACTCTAGTAGTTGGAAATAATTTTTTAAAATTTTTTTACAACTTTAGTGTAACAGTTAACAACTTTTGTAACACTATTAACAACTTCAGTATAACAGTTAATAACAGGTTTTCTGAGAAATTCAACAAGCTCCGGCGGCTAAAAATTTTTTTTTGAAAATTTTTACAACTTCAGTATAATGGTTAACAACTTTTGTAATGCTATTAACAATTTCAGTATAACAGTTAACAAGTTTTTCAAACAATTCAATAATTGGTCGTTGGAGCTCCGACAGCAAAAAACAATTTTTTAAAAAATTTTTACAACTTCAGTATAACAGTTAACAACTTTTATAACAACTTTTGTAATGTTATTAATAACTTCAATAGAGTACTTAACAACAAATTTTTCGAAAAATTTAAAAAGTAGCATTTTTACAATTTGTAAGAAAACATGCCTTTTTTATTTTTAAGAAAACATGTTGTTAAACGCTATATCGAAGTTGTTAATAAAGTTACAGAACTTGTTAACGGCATTACTAAAGTTGCAAAATTACTACTTTTTGAATTTCTCAAAAAACTTATTGTTAATAGCGTTACAAAAGTTATTAATCGTTATACTGAAATTGTGAAAATTTTCAAACAAATTGTTTCCAACTGCCGGAACTCCGACGACCAATTGTTGAATTTTCTAGAAAACCTGTTGTTAACTGCTATATTGAAATTGTTAATAGCGTTATAAAATTTGTTAACCGTTATACTGAAATTATAAAAATTTTCAAAAAAATTGTTTCCGGTTACTAGAGCTTGTTGAATTTCCTAGAAATCCTGTTGTTAACTGCTATATTGAAATTATTAATAGTGTTACAAAAGTTATTAGCCGTTATACTAAAGTTGTAAAAAATTTTAAAAAAATTGCTCTCGACTACCGCAGCTTTGGTGACCAATTGTTGGCCAGTCGTCGGAGCTTCGATGACTGCCATCACTAGAGCTCTGACGACTAGCCGGTCAATGGGAGCTTTGGAATTTTAAAAACAATAAATAAAATGAAGGACTATATGGTCATTTAAGCAAACTTATAAATGCCAAATTAGTCTCTTATGACTAAATTGAGATTTTTCAAATTCAGGAAATGTTTTTGGCATTATGAAATTCATTTGTCATTTTTCTGTCATATTCCCTAATTATAGTTTAATATTAAAATTAAAATTATATAAAAATTATTAAATAGTTTAGATTATTAAAATATTTCAGATTACGTCTAGTTAAAATATTATCATATTAAATCTTTAATTATCTTCTTGGTGTTCTCCATCTCCCCTTTAAATCAAGGGTTGTTATGAAGAGAATTTGTACAAAAATAATTAACTCTTTAATTTAGTTTTAAAGAGAAATTTATTTTTTTAAATTCCAAAACAATAATTATTTTGCAACATAAAAATATTTCAATTCAATTTCAATTATGTGAGTGTTATCATTTTTTAATTTTATACATAATATAAAAATAAAAATATTTCAAATTTCTTTTTAGCATGCTCGAAAGTTAACAAAATAAATATGGATTTCAATTAATCTTATATAAAAATAATCATTTGTGTCCCTTTACAGTGCACAAACCCAAGCATCTCAACTACAGCCACATACACACACCGCTACGTCGTCAATTTGCACCATAGATGGACAATATGCATAATTCAATTAAGTTGACCATGTAGATAATCCATACTTAATTCACTACCATCGTACACTTTATTTTCGTCTCATTTTAAATATACACTGTGTAGTGTATTCAAATGATAATTAGATGGTAAAAATTTATCTGGGCTAATTACTTGGATATGAGAAGAGGACTTGCTGATTTTGTTAAGAGGACTTGTTAAAGAGCAGTAAACCACCGTTATATAATTATTGATTCAATCACAAGCCATCACACTTTTTCAAAACAAAACAACAAGGCAAAAGTCTGAAAAAGAGTCAAGAAATTGAAGGACGTTGCTCTCCGGCTTCTATTTAGCCAACGGTTATGTTTCTGCTTTCCGTCTCTGTTTCATCTTCTTCTTTAATATTGTTCGATAAAAATTCCTTCAGGCCAATTGTCAAAGCTGATGTTGAAACCATGGAAGCTTTGAGGATGCTCAGAACCTGCATTTGTATGTATGCATGAGTCTGATACAGAAGGCAAAAAAAGATTGCGGCAAGGATGCAAATAAATCTGATCATATTCACAGCAAAAGGAAAGAAAATAACAAAAGAAAACCCCAAACCATTAAACTTCTTGTTTTTTTCGACCTAAACAAAATTTGCATCTCCTTTAATTTGTCTTTCTAAAGGTTAGAAGATACGCACCTCTTGTACGCCAATGCAGATTGTTCTTTGCTCCAAGTCATCGTAAGGCACCTTGAATTCAGTTAGTAAAGATGATAAAACATCGCGAGATGATAAAGGTTTCACAGACAAGTCGTCGGCAACCATGAACGTGGTTCCACCCTTGGCATATCCTTTGCCTGATTTTTCCTCCGCTGTTGTAGACTTAGGATCGCACATTCTTACTTCTCTCACAAAAAATTGACTATACAAATTTGTATCGGCAGTCAAATAAAATGGACCACCCTTCCAACAACAACTTAACTTTGACGGATACTTCATTTCATCGATAGGTAACATCTGGTTACTCGCTTTAAAATATGGGGCTACCTTCAGGCTGGCGAACACATTGTTCATCTTCTCCGACTTCAAATGCCTGGTTGAATCAAAGTTGCTCAAACTATTATATAAATTATTGACACACACCAACCCAGAGTTTCCTTCTAAAACTCTCTCCACAGCTCCTATTGGGAATGTCAAGAAACTTAAAAGCTGGTCTACGAAATCTTCCTCAACTTCAGCAAACAATATCTTGGACTTCGATTTTGACATCAATACCTTAATCTTCGTCGTCCCAATGCTCTCTCTGCCTTGTCTCTCATCAGTCATCTTGAACGAGGTTTCGGAATGCACAAGGTTGTGCTCCTTCCTTAACAATGAATCTGTAAGTGCCGTCTTGGAGATCAACAAGGACTTGAGTAGGTCCAAAATCTTCGAAAACATAATAAATTAAAACATGAGGTGATGTGATATAAAGAAAATAAGATATAGTTAATGTTTCCAGAACTCAACCTCATTTGAACTAAGAACCATAGTGGATTCCTCCGGTGGACATTCAGAGCGAAGATTCTTTAGCAGACACAATGTTGTATTGAGATTAGCAGGAGTTACAGATAGATCGTCAGAAATAATAAAAGATGCAGTCTCCTTTACATAGCCTTCCCATGTATTATCTGCATTTTGGACAAGGTCTGAAAGAAAAATATTAATAATTGAATCAAATATGGTTTGTTTAATAAGGATAACAAAAAATATAAAATGCATTGCAATTATTACCTCCAGCATCACCGCTCGCGTTTTTATCGGATCCACTTAACAGAGGACTGCATGAGAGCGTTTTGCTAGGGTTCAGAAGGAGCGTAAAATCCCCCCCACACTTGCATTTCATATTCTTGGAAGTGCTCACCAGAGAACCATCTACTCCAAAAAGACAACGTTTACAAGCATAATACTTGGTTGGCTCAGTGTCATCAATGTTGAGTTTGAGGTTTCGATTATAACATTCCATTGAGTTCCATGGCTGAAGCAGCATTTGTTTGCATGTCTCTGAATTCAAATACATGGGGTCCAGATTCCCCACACTTTCATAGAGTGAGCTTATGCATCCGAATCGACAAGGCTTCGTGGTTGAATCCTTACTAACAAGTCTTGCGATAGTTCCCAGTGGCAGTGTCAAGAAGCTTAAAAGAATATCCACAAAATCCTTCCCTGCTTCAGCATAGAGCACTCTGTTTTGCTCTTTGTCCACAACAACTCTCAATGAAATTTGTTCCGGAATAGCAGTTGAAGCCATGGGAGCAATATTATTAACCCACCAGATCCAGCAAATGCTTCAGAAGCTGTAACGAGGACGTAACCTATTTGAACTATTGGAGAGTGGCTCTCGTTATGGAGGTTATGGTTATGAACAAGGGCTCTTGAATTATTGGAAACAGATGATATGACCAAGGCTTTGTGATTCCTTCCTCTTCAACTTTCAATTAGGCTTACTCGTTAAGCAAATGCCTGCACTCTTTTCGAAGTCAAAAGATTCTTGCCTTCATTGCTACGCTAAGATTTTTTGTTAAATGCCTTTTTCTTAGGGGTTGCAATCAAGTAAAGTATGCACTCATAATAATCGAGGAAAATTAAAATTATCTGAAACATGAATAATATTAAATTATGATACTATATATTTAGTATAATATAAATCTTTTTATCACATATTGATATTTAATTTTTAAAATATATAAATCATTTTTTAAGTTGTGCTCGCAGGTATTACAAGACATAAAAATCACCCATCGTCATATTTGTTTAGAATTTTATTAATATAACCATAGTTATATTAGTGAGAAAATCATCTTACATTTTTGTTTTAAAAAAAGTTAATATAATTTTTAGTCTGTTAAGTTTGTCTTCATTTTGGTTTAGTCCCTCAATTTTTAGACCACAGTTTTTACTCTTTTAAGTTTCTTTTCATTTAAAATATTGATACATATAATTCAATACAAACTTGCACCATTCTCTTAAAAGACCAAAACCTATAGTTTAAAATTTAAATGATTAAAATTAAAATAAAGGAAAACTTGATAAACTAAAAATTATATTAACTTTTTAAAAAAATAGACCCTGAATTCAAAAGAAAACCTCACTAGCACATATCCTTTGCCTTTTTTTGGCCACAGCACATGTCCTATGCCTACCAACGCAGCATATGGTAATATCTGAACCCCATTGGACCGTATATATTTTTTCGGCCAAAACATTGGACCGTATATATTGAATATTGAATCTTTTTTCATATATTTCACTACTTTCTTTTTTCTGCCAGAAATATGTTATACTACATATTATAAAGTAAATAATAGTAGGATAAAGTGCTTAAATACCTCAAAAGTATTCATGTGGATTTCTTTTGCTTTTATATGCCCAAAAAGTTTATTTTCGTAGCAAAAATACATTAGTTGTTATCCCCTATTAAGTTTGATTGTTAAATTATACAGTATGACTGATATCCATAACAGTCAAAATTAACGGCGGATAACAGTTCAAGATAGAAATACCGTGAAATAATATTTTTGGAGTATATAGGAGTCAGAAAAAATTTTAGGTGCTAGACGCTCATTCTTAAATACTTCAAGATACTTAAATACCTTATCCTAATAATAATTTATTCTCAGAAAGGCAACTAGATGTTAATAATTCCATAGGCATTGTGCTGAAACCTTTCAGAACAACTATATGTTGTGAACACATTATGTTTCATTTTGTGGGAGAGTGAAGAGTAGTTTACTCTTAGTTTAGCACAGTAAAAATATTCTTGCGTCAATTGAAATTGATTTTCTTCTCAAACGAACGTAAGGGATCAACCTTCACTTTATTCCAGTTTTAAGAAAATCTTTTGTCTTGTTGATTGACGAGAAGGTGGCTTTTTAAGCTATAACTATTAAAGGTTAAGTTTAAAAGGTTACAAATTTTTTTAATATTTAGTGAATTTAATTAATTTCCTTAATCCTTAAAAAGGTAGTTAATATGATTTAATAGAAAAGACCGGAGAGAGCAGTTAATTTTGAAATTAAAAAAAATGAGAAGTATGACCCAGCTTGCTTCAACTTCTTACTATCTTTAGAAATGAAAATTAGTCTTCCCATAGTAATCCCAGTATATTTCAATATTATCATTTTTTATAATTTTATTTTAATATGATCATGTTTGGGTAGCTATAATCAGTAATAGGAGTATTTCCTTCGGCAGACCGCAGATTGCAGTTATCAAAATTCCTTAAAAATAAACTCTTGTGATTTGCTTTCAACTTTTTTTTTTTTACTTTTTTATCTTTTTCTTCCTCCCTTTCTTCCTTCCTTTCTTTTTCTTTTTCTTTTTCTTTTTTGACCCCTTTTTGTCAGAGAATTTGCTTTTTCTTTTTCTTTCTTTGCCAAAGAGAATTTGCTTTCTCAAGTTTTGAAGAAATTGATTCTTCTGGGTTGGCTTCATTTAAATAAATAAGAAATAAGTTAAGTCAGTTATTTTTAATAAATAAGTGTTGCTTTCCTAAAATGTTCTTGCTAATTAAGTATATTCGCCTCTTTAGCTCTTCTTTGGTAATTACAATAATTGAAGAAAAATAAAATCACCTAAAACAGGAAATAAATTATGATATACTACCTCTGTTCCTTAAAATAAAAACTAGTTGACTAATTTGAGTATATTATAAAAATTAGTTAAGTTAGTTATCGTTTCTTGAACAACACTAAAATTTTGAAAGAACTTCTTTGGATTAGCATTAAACGATGGTTGAAATTAATTTCCATAGTACAATGGTTAAATATAACAGCTAGTTAAAGATTGAATTTGATTTTAAATATAAGATATCGATCCACTTTGTCTCTCAAATTTATAATATTTTCTCTAAAATATTCTCATTAATTGCAAGGTGTTCTCACTAAAAGATATTTTTAATGCACATTATTAAATAGGATAATTTAGAGAAGGCAACACAAATTTATTATAATTAACTAACTTAATTAATTTTCTTAATTTTTTCAAATTGATTATGTGATAAGAACCAGAAGTTGTACATAGGAATGGGGAAAGGGGATCTGATTTCTCCATATATTTTCACTCAATGTATGGAAAAGTTAAGCCATGTGATTATGGATGAAATTCATAGAAGGAAATGGCTCCCCATCACCTGAAAGGGGGCAAAAAAATCGTCCACCTGTTTTATGAAATTTTTAGAAATTCTCTTGATCTAGAATAGGAGGGTTGCAAATTCTGTAATTGATAGGAAAGCGAAGGAGAATTACTAGATAAAGCAAATACGTTGAGCACCTCACCACCATTATATAATCATTTATTCTACCATAAGCCATCACACTTCTTCAAAACAACAAGACAGAAGTACGAGAGAGAATCGAGAAAATGAAGCACTAGCCACTGCTTCGACTCTTTGTTTTGCCCTCTTCTTTAATATTATTTGATAAAAATTCCTTCAGGCCAATTGTCAAAGCTGATGTTGAAACCATGGAAGCTTTAAGGATGCTCACAACCTGCATTTATATGTATGCACGAGTCTGATACTGAAGGCAAAAGTAAATTGCAGCAAGCATGCTAATAAATCTGATCATATTCAAGGAAAAACAAACCCAAACAGAATTTGCATCTCCTTTGTTTTGTCTAAAGGTTAGAAGATACGTATCCTTTGCCTTTTTTTGGCCACAGCACGTGTCCTATGCCTACCAACGCAGCATATGGTAATATCTGAACCCCATTGGACCGTATATATTTTTTCGGCCAAAACATTGGACCGTATATATTGAATATTGAATTTTTTTTCATATATTTCACTACTTTCTTTTTACTGCCAGAAATATGTTATACTACATATTATATAATAGGATAAAGTGCTTAAATACCTCGAAAGTATCTATGTGGATTTTTTTTTTGCTTTTATATGCCCAAAAAGTTTATTTTTGTCGCAAAAATATGTTAGCCGTTATCCGCCATTAAGTTTGATTGTTAAATTACGCGGTTTGACCGATGTCCGTAACGGTCAAAATTAACAGCGGATAACGATTCAGGATAGAAATGCTATGAAATAATAATTTTCGAGTATATAAAGTTAGAAGAAATTTTAAATGCTGGACGCTTATTCATAAATACGTCAGAGATACTTAAATACCTTATCCTAATAATAATTTATTCTCAGAAAGGCAACTAGATGTTAATAATTCCATCTGTATTGTGCTGAAACCTTTCAGAACAACTATACGTTGTGAACACATTATGTTTCATTTTGTGGGAGAGTGAACAGTAGTTTACTCTTAGTTTGGTACAATAAAAATATTCATGCATCAATTGAAATGATTTTCTTCTCAAACGAACGTAAGAGATCAACCTTTACTTTATTCTAGTTTTAAGAAAATCCTTTGTCTTGTTAATTATTGACGAGAAGGTGCCTTTTTAAGCTATAACTATTAAAGGTTAAGTTTAAAAAGTTGTAAAAAAATTTTAATATTTAGTTAATTTTGATTAATTTCCTTCATCCTTAAAAAAAGTAGTTAATATGATTTAATAGAAAAGACCGGAGAGGGTAATTAATTTTGAAATTAAAAAAATGAGAAGTGAAACAACATATGATCCAGCTTGCTTCAACTCCGTACAATCTTTAGAAATGAAAATTAGCCTTCCCATAGTAATCATCATATATTTCAATATTATTATTTTTTATAATTTTATTTTAATATGATCATATGTTTGGGTAGCTATAATCAATCATAGGAGTATTCCCTTTGGCAATCTGCACTAATCATAATTCCTTAAAAATGAAATCCTGTAATTTGCCTTCAACTTTTTTTTTTCTTTTTTACCTTTTTATCTTTTTCTTTCTTTCTTTCTTTCTATCTTCCTTCCTTCCTTTCTTTTTCTTTTTTTTTTTAACCCTTTTTGGCCGGAGAATTTGATTTTTCTTTTTATTTTTTTGCCAAAGAGAATTTGCTTTTTCAAGTTTTGAAAAAATTGGTTTTTCTGAGTCAGTTTCATTTGAATAAAATATCATGTGGCTGTGCTCAAGAAAAGATTAAACATTACAACATCATCAGGTTGTTTGAGACACCCAAAATCACTTAAAAAAAAAATTTCTGAGTCGGTTTCATTTTTTGCCTTGTTGTTGGATGCACAAAAAAATATTTTAGGATACTAAACACACCTAAAACAATATTTTAGAGGGCCGGATGCTCCAAAAAATATTTCACGATGCTGGATACACTTAAAAAAAATAGTTCAAAATATTGGATACACCACAAAATACAAAATACTTGGGCCTACTGAATGCTTCTTAATCCATTTAAAGTACTTATACTCTTCTGGTTCTTAA